GGCATCCATCTGGGTGATGAAGACCGAATCAATGATCATGGGGAGATCCTTCAGCAATTGTCTAACAAGCCCGTACAGTAATGTTCACCAGCAGAAACCATGGTATGACACTGGAACTCAGCCTGTAACTACCGGTGAGCCGTTGGTTGCCTAACCTGACTTTGGTCTATGCTGGTTACCAAGTCCTGAGCAAATGCTGGCTATAGAATCCTAGATCATAGGGGACAGGATAAACTAGAATAACAGGAGCTGCATATAAACTCTGTTGCAATAAATAGGTTCACCTACTAACTTATAGCAGGGTGACCTCTACACATGCACACTGTGTCACAGACAAAACAACATGTGACATAACAACATGGGGACAGATGTACAGTGGGGATCGAAAGTTTGGGCACCCCAGCTAAAAATTTGTATTAATGTGCATAAAGAAGCCAAGGAAAGATGGACAAATCTCCAAAAGGCATCAAATTACAGATTAGACATTCTTATAATATGTCAACAAAAGTTAGATTTTATTTCCATCATTTACACTTTCAAAATAACAGAAAACAAAAAAAGCTGGCGTCTGCAAACTGTACTTCTGTAACTAGTCTTTACATATATATACACTACGAAGCACTGGGCAACAGTAGTAAACTATTAAGTATAGGAGCACTTTCCTAACAACCCCTGCTTCTGCCCTGGGAAGACCCCCAAACAATAGGAAATATGGACTTTAAGGGCAACATGAAAAGTGCTGAGGTATGGAAAAACTTATTACAACATCTAAAAGATGCACAATATTGGTGTTGTGATAAAACATAACACAATGTACTAAGTACTATATGGCTGCAATAGTAGAAATATCCAATATAACCAGCAAGGTCAAGATGAAATGTCCGCCTTATACTATTGGAACATCACCAATGGAGAACTGATGCGTTTCAGATTAGTCGCTTTCATCAGGGGTACGTTCTGGAGGAAGATGGTAAGTTCTATAATATGAATAAATTATAATAAGCATAGACAAACAGCAAATCAAACAGATTGAATAATTTACATACAAAAGAACAAAACCATCGATCAAATTCAGCCGTATCTGTATTAAAACATCTATCATCGTCTGCTGGCACCTCTAGAGGCCACCATGAAAAATGCACGCCCAACCTAAACACCTTCACACTGAGACTGCCAAAGAAAGGAGGGGAAGGGGAAGAAGCAAGAAAAGATCCTAGCTCACTATAGGGTGCAAGACAAAAGAAGCACTATTTGAATATATACTGTGAAATAGGGACCAAATTGAGAAATGGATACCAGTCAATGTGTCCAAGTCACAGCAGTGCATTGCATCTTTGTGACATTGGTAGCATAAGGATAATAAAAAAATATATTCTATACCTCCATTCACCGTAGGGATGTACAATGATTGATTTATAAATAAATAACTAGGATTAATGTCCACTTACAGGTTAGGTAAGTTGAAGTAGGCAGAATGGTGAGGGCCCAGTTTCAAGATGGTATGGTATGAACTGCAATATATTCAGAAATGAACAGAATCTATAAATTAGAAGGGGTAAAGAAGTCAATAAAGGAGACCTTCAGATCCTAATTTTTTTGGCCCTCCATGGAATACATGAGTCTCCTACCCTTCAACAGGAACGCTTCATAAAGAGGCATACAAAAACATGTTAACAGTGTCTTATAGAGTGTCCGTATACTAGGTCTCACCTGGTCCCCTCGCAATTGGAATTTGGATGTTGTGGAAATCATCTTTACCGGGAATGCCCACAGTATTGCTTCTGGTAGAAATAGGCTGCCTTAAATAGTGTGCGCCGGACGCCCACACATGCGCACAGCAACCTCCTCGCACTGCGCATGATCCAAAGGGAAACTCAAGCGGTCTCCTAGGCAAAATACAGCTTATACATGGATGGCCATGGGTTCCAATTCTGTTACTGCTTGCTGGAAACTCCCCTTTTATATAAATATCACAGTCCTCCAATTGGTGTTTGTGACCCAGTTAGCTGGGACAGGATGTACGTATCTATAACCAACTAACTCTGGTAATTTAAAGAAGTAGGGCCAAAGCTCTTTTGTCCCCACTTCTCCTTGGGATCATGGAAATACACTGCATTCTGCACTCCTGTGACCTGTTGTCGGCAGACGTCACCAAACCTGTCTAGGCTCTGGAAAGATATCAACTTTAAAGTTGGAATCCACCCAGATTCCTGACTGGTAGCTAGCTCAGCTGAGGGCTGAGCCAACCGCTCCTGCTCCCTCCACAGCCTGGTGCTCCAGTGACTGCTAGAGGGGCAGAGCAGAGAGTCGGTCACCAGCACTCTGCTTACTGAAGACCAAGAACTGAGTGATCAATGGTGTTTCGTCACTCAGTGAGGAGGTGGTGTGGGACAGGCACAGCATCAGAGCAATGCTGCATCCACCTAGGTGAGTATAAATGTTTTGTTTTTTTTGTAATTCCAAGTTTTTCTTTCTACAAGCGACAACTATTTACAAAGAGACAGAGGGCAGCAGATCTCTACATACACAGTATATATTCACCATTTTCTTCGCAGTAAATAAAGCATATTGACATTTGGTCAGATACCATCATTTTGCTCTTTTATATTCTTTTTAGAAAACCTGTGCTGACATTTTGGGGAATTAACTAAGCTTTTTGTGCAATTATAATGGCACAGGAAACTGTCAGGAGTGGCATGTGCCACATTTACTGAGCAGATCTGCACCACCTGCACCAGTTTTTATTTCAGAGTAATATAGAAACTAGATCTGCCCCTAATTAACAAATTTAATATGGTAGATTCCTTCAAGGTGTGGCCTTGTTGTACTGTATGTAAGCTGTCAGCAGTCTGCCCATGCAGTGATTACATTACACAAGCAGAGTCTGCAGTGAACTGAGCTGGGGTCAGGATTGGAAGATGCAGCTCCAGCTCTCATGTTCTCTGTGTTGTTTTCCTTCAGACAAAGCCAAACAGAAATCAGAATGTTATTAATTAAGAAAAGGGCTTGCATCCCTTTGTTAATTAGGAGCAACATCTGACCCATTTTTTATGTTTTGAAGAGTGGTGCAAGCATTGTGTTTGCACCAATCTGTTTTAATTCCCCCATTATATTTTGTAGATTTTTACTTTCACAAAATGCAATCGCTGCATGCTTTTTTCCTATGACCTGTATGAGCAGAGTAGATACAGCCAAGTTTTTTTCCGTTTTACAATATGTTTTGCTTGAGAATGCCATGGTTTGGACATTGCACTTGATTAGTTTCAGTGATCTTTATGACGACTAAAAGACTGCTGATCGAATGAGCACTTCTCGGTGAGGCTGTGCTTTCAATCCAGCTAATGGAAGTTGCTAAATATTGAGTTGAAATCTGCGGATAATCTTTTTTTTTTTTTTTTTTTTCAAGTGTGTGTGTGTGTGTGTGTGTGTGTGTGTGTGTGTGGGCGTGTGTGTATATATAACTTTTGTAAAAGTTTATCTTCTTTCCAATGTTGGTCATTGCATATATTCAGTGTGATGAATAGAAGATCTTTAGTGACATTTTTATTTGTTTTATACTTAATTAAAAAAACAGTGTGAGATCATTTAAAACTGTCTATATTTGTACTTTTAATAAAATGGATACATCTGTGCTTTCCATTCTGTACAATAAGGAACATAACAGTCAAAATAAAACAAACAAAATGGGTATTGGCATAACATACTGCTATGTAGTTTGTTAGCACCGTAGGAAAAAAAAAAAAAAAAAAACTCTTGTTCCAAGTAGCTTCTTGATTAACTCCACAGTCCTCCAACTGTATTCCCCCATAGTCCTCTGACTTCCCAGCATTTTGAATGAATGGATATTGGGTATTCAACGTGTATTGTTATTTAATACATCTGTCCCCTTTTTGCAATAATCTACTGACTTGAAAAATACAAACATGTCTCTCTCTCTATCGTCAAATGTATGTGAAATAATCTAAAGATGTCATCCAGTAACCACTTGGTGGAGAAGGAGACATTTTATTGATAATTCTGCTGATAGTTTGTGCATGGTCTGGCAGTTAAAAAGTCATTCTATAGAGATAATGTACACATTTTTACTGACAAACATTCATGCTTGTGCCTATAGAATGAGGCTGGGGAATACTTTGCGCAAATTCATAACACTGACCGCTCTTGGGTAAAAACAATAACCAATAGACCCTGAAGGAAATGTGTGCCATGGTCTGATTTGGTCTTAAAGGTACATAAACATTTCCCATGCTAATCTTTAACAGTATCGCAGTTCATCTCCCAGTAAATCTGTGCTGAGGAAGTATGGAGGCTACCATTTTAATGTGTCCTAAAAATTCTAGGTGACCATTGTCTTGCTAAATCAAACATAACCATGGCTGCAATAATAACCTCATATTAACATACACTTTTGCCCTCATTATTATAAGGGTTGAGTAAAGTATAGTATAATTTTAAGTTTTTTAATATTGGTCAGTATCTACATTCAGTTAATTATTTCTCATAGTGAAAATGCAGACCATACTTTTTATTGTGATTACTTGTACAAAACGATGAACATTTTATGCTTGCTCAGGTAAGTTGACAATACAGATAAAATATTATAACATAAGAGCTGGTGTATGAAATGGGGACTCATGGGGACTGAAATCTCATTCTTGCTAATTTAAAATTAATACCTCAAACATCTGTCCCCCTTTGGCAAAATTGCTGGTTTATTTGAATTGTCCCCTTTCCTATTATTGGGTTTGGCTTTCACATCCATTCAACCCCATTGATGACATTATCAATCACTGCTCACCATGTGCCTTCCCAAGATTCATGCATAACCGCTTTTTAAAGATATATAGACTATCATCCACTATTGATAATATTACAGTCAAAGTTGTGGCTTCCATTCACCTTTCCATTTGTTTGTTGATGTTACATTTTCATTTTATATTTCGGTAGGAGTAATTTTTTTTTCCTTTTTTTGTTTTTTTTTTTTCTCCTTGTGTCACCAGTGCACCTATTCCATTCTTCCATCGCTGTGCTCCTGTGAACATTTCCTGCTATGCCAAGTTTGCAGAAGCCTTGATCACTTTTGTCAGTGACAATAGTGTCCTGCACAGGCTGATTAGTGGAGTAATGACCAGCAAAGAAATTATTATTGGACTTTGCTTTTTGTCACTAGGTAATGGCTTTTCTGATTATTAGACTTCATTGTGTAGTACTGTTCTAGAAAATTTACCATCTTTTAATTATTGTGGGGCTAAAACGTATATGTTTGTTGTGTTACTAAGAGTGACGTTGGCCCTGAAATGTGCTTATTATTGCACAACCAGTGCTCATGTCTTGCAAACTTTAGCAGTTTTCATAATTTTGCTCCATCTTTATGCCTTTGGAATTTAAAATTTCTATTCCCGTACCTTTTTCATCATATTTTAAATTTCATGGGAGTAGATGAAAATGTTGTCTCTCCGGGGTGTTTCAAATGTGATTTGTAGTGAGCATTTGTTATGCTGCTAACTGTGCTATTATATTGCAGAAATGAAAAGTGAACTATATACATATACAAGTATATGAACTGTAGGGTAAATGAATACATGTTTACCCTCCTTATTAGCTGCATTTTATAGTAATAGCAACTTATTTGGGTATCAAACTTCTTACAAATCATAGGTTGGTGCATAGGTACATAGAGTTTAAACCGGTCAAGGAGCACTGCTATGTATCCATCTGTTACTAAAGTTTATCAGAAACCAGTTCAAAATTTCAAGAACCTAAATTGTTAGATGACTAAAATCTTGCCAGCTGTTTAATAGCTAATTTGCTGCTTCAGTGAAGCTCTGGACAGTTTTTAAATAAAGTAGGGAGTTATACAGACCTCCTGTTTGATTTTTTTTTTTTTTTTTATTATTGTCTGTGAGATTATAACCTTTCCTCACTCTACTACAGAAGTATTTTATAGCAGTGGGCATGCTTATTAGAGAGATTTCCTCACTTCCTGTGCTTGTGACTCGCCAGCAAGTGATGTGAAATTTCTGCAGCAGGTAAATGGATAGTAATTAAAACCTGACAGAGGCTCTAAATATTCCCCACCCGACCAAGTATATCATAATTGGTTCATAATTGCTACTCAACAATCAATACACTAAAAGTTTACATATGTATATTTTTCTATAAGGGTGTACTCCAAGAAGTAAATTTGGGGAACCTGCATATTTTCTAAATGTCCATCCTGGCATTTATTGTTGGCTGCTGGTTGCCCTAATCGCAAAATCCTACTGAATCATGTGCAATTAATTTAAAATTCTGGCTTGGTCATTAGTCTGCCCACTATTGGCTGAATGTGTCTATGGTCAAAATGTAAAATCACATATAAATTTCCACATAGTGTTTGAATTATTTGTAGCCCACTCTGATTAATTAAAATGATCTTGAAGTTTGTAAACTTTGTGAAGATCCCCACATATTTACATTTACAATTCTATGACTCATATTCACTATGCCCTGTATGAACTAGAGAGGTGCTGAGAGAGAGTTTCAGGAAACACACAAATCATCACTGATTGCAGGCAGCAAGGTATAATGAAATATATAGTCCCTACAATTTTGTAAATTAAACCAAAGAAATGAGCGGAGGAGAAACTGCAAAGCATACAGAGAATCAAGTAACTTGTTAATAGAGATGGCCAGCAGACAGGCAGCGCTCACGACAAAGGAGGACAATTTTCAAGTAAGCTCATATTTGATTCTCAAAAAGAACTATTGTTTGTATTGCTATTACAATGATAATATTCTAAAATAATAATATGCTGTGGCTACAGATCTCCTTTTTAAGTATGATTTTGTTATTGTATGCTTTAGGTTAATGTGTGTAATAGCTCTTTGATTTATTTTATTTTTTTAATATGCAGGTGTTATGCATTACCTGTGCACATGTTCACTTTAAAGTATTTAAACAAGCTGTTACAACACTTCACAACAAGCCCTCAATCATCTCTGTGTTTCTAAGCATTGTGGAGCAATTAATTTCAAAGTTCACAAAGCAGACATTGAAATCTCTGATGTTTTTGTTTTTTTACAAGAGAACAAATCTTGGTAGCTTGCTAGACTTCTACTGTAAGCAACCAGAAGGTGTTTCTAAGCTGTTAGAAACTGAATGAAAACTCAAACGTGATCTTTGAAGATCTTTGAAAATGAATAACTTAGTTATATGGAGCTAAAGAGATTATAGGTGGCTTGTTTTATTGCTTGTTGAAGCTGAATTCCAGGGGGGAAAAAAAGTTTCCCTGCAGCCTCTGCAATTCAAAGTTTGAAGCTGAAGATTTAGGTATGATTTTTCATCCCTGTGGAAGCTAGAGATTATTGTATTAGTCACCACTACTACAGTGATAGCAGCAGTCTTCCGGATCCAGTGGCAACTCTTCTGCATAGTAACCACAGGGGGGTTGCTTACCAGGTGTTTTCTGATTGGATGAGTTGGAGAGGCAGAAAAAGTGACATCACGTTTGCCACTTAGTCCAAAGAACCCAGAAGACTGCTGCTATCACTATAGTAAAAGCATTTTCTACAATGATTTCCTGCTTCTCCAAGGATTGATCATGTATGAGAGATGCATACTTACATCGGCCTCAGCTGGACCAATGTACCTATGCAAGAAAAATCATACCTAAACTTCAGCTTTACTTGCTCCTTTAGATCCAGGGGACCAAAATAATTGGTTTTACTTTCCCAATCATCTGTTTCTGCAGGCTCGCTCCTGACTGTATGACTGGTCTCTGCAGCTTCTTCTAATTTTCCCACATCATTAAAGTGGTAGTAAATTTCTGAGATAAAAAAATGAAAGCATATCCTTCTATAGTGTGTACTTGCCTCAAGCACCTAGTGTGATGTGATTCCTGCCCTGTGTCTCTTTTCTCTGCTATCTACATGAGTTATTGCTGACAGGTTGTGCCAACTCAAAGTAATCGAGAGAGAAGGGGAGGGGAACTACATCACACAGACTGTGATTGACAGCCTCTGCTGTGCATGTTTCCCTAGAAGATTGTGTAGAGGGAGGGGTCCATTATTTTCACTCAGGTCTCAGATAATATTCAGCTCACCTCTCTGAGCTGTGCAGTGTGTGTTGTTAGATCCCCACCTCTTACCTCTATAAGCCCAGAAAAGCAGAGTACATTCTGCAGAGAAGATTCTGTCTACAGATAAACCGGTACAACTTATGTAGGAGGATTTGTTTAAGTTCTCTGTATAACCACTTTAAGTCCAATGCAGAGCTCAAAGCTCTGCATTGGATGTGAGGATACCAAAGGACAATCCACTGCTGGAGGGAAGCTGCCGAGGCAACAGAGAGTAAGATTTTAATCCTTGCAATGCTGGTGCAGCCCCAGGGAACATTTTTTTTCTTACCCGTGAGATGGGCTTTAATAGTTTAATGTCCATATTCTGAGCACAGGTGCACTTTAACTTTCTCAAAGTTCTAAAAATGTCTGATAACTGAGAATCTAATCTTACTCTATTATGTTATTTTTTTTTTTTTTAATAAAAGAAATTCTGGATGTATTTGATATCACTTCATTGTTTTGATGCAATTTAGGCTGATGCTTGATTTGATGCTTTTTAAAGCAGAGTTTCAGTTGTTTTGTGTTTTATTAAAAGTCAGCAGCGTCCCTTCTCTCCTTCTTTCCCCGGTGCCGGCATCTAAACTGTGGGCACCAGGCCACAGACAGCCCCTCCACATTCACAGCCAGGTGCCCACTGCGCATGCACGAGTCGCACTGTGCATCCTGATTTCTCTGGCAGTCTTCTGAGACCTGTGAAGGTTCCAAGGAGACTGCGGGATGAAGGAGGGGGGCTGAACTTCCGGCTCACTTTGCCACGGCGAAGTGAGCTGGAAGTGGGAGTGGGTACCTGTGAAAACCAGGTATCCACTCCCCCCTCTCCCACAAAAGGTGCCAAATATGGCAGTGGAGAGGGGGGAGGAGGCAAACAAGCAGAGCTTCCACTTTTTGTTCTGGCCCCTGCCACCTCCCCAAAAAAATTAGCAGCTACAAATACTGTAGCTGCTGACTTTTAATAGTAGGGCACTTGCCTGTTTGGGAATCCAGCGGTGTCCACACCCCGAGCCAATTCTTCAATCTGCTGTCGGGTGCTAGCACTGCCATCTTGACTAAGTGAAACTGGTGGTGAAGCCTTGCGGCTTCACCGCCAGTTTCCTGCTGCGCATTTGTGAAGTACGCTGTGGTTTGTGAATGGGTCACAGTCCTCTGGGACTTTGGAAGTGTCCCATAGAACTGAGGAGGGGGGTCCCAAACTTCTGGCTCAGTTCGCCATGGCAAACTGAGCCGGAAGTGGGAGCAGGTACCCGCTCCCCCCTATAACGTGCCAAATGTGGAAGTGGAGAGGGGGGAGAGGAGGTGGAACTCCGCTTTAAGTTTTTCAGTTTCATGTTGACCATTATCTTCCAAGGTTTGTACACTATTTTACATAGCTTTTGTAGCCTGCAAACTAACCTTTAACTTTCTTATTGTGCATTTAATTTATATCAGTATATACAGTATCCTGGCATATTTTGCATAGGTTTAAAAAATGCATAAGACCATTCAAATCACACCCTGCTCTGTGGAACTAATTTCCCTTCTGCAGTCATGTCAGTTAGCCCACAGCTCTGGATTATTAAATGATACAAAAGCAGCTGGAAGGAAACCATTCAAACACAGGAACATGCAAAATCCATGTTGAGTGTTAATGGTAGGATTGCATCCTATTGAACATTGAGAATAGGCACAGTGATTTTACTTTCACACTAGCACTGAAACTCCGTGATCGCCAAGCCTGCAAATTCCCCCTGATTGACAGATGTCATAGGGTGAAAATGGACCTCTGTTCAGCTCATTCATGACAAAACAAGGTTTCTACATGACAAAACATGTCTGCTCGGGCCCACATATTTGTAGACACAAAAATGCAGACAGTTGTCCCGAAACTGAGCTTCACACCCTATGTAACAAGCTTTGCAAATCAGTTGAGATCACGGTTATCATTCTAAAACGTTATACATTTAAAGTGGCCTATTATTGTAAATGTATTTCTCAGTTACAATGCAGTTGCAGCTTGACTGCATCTTCCCACACAGCTCCATTTATTTTCAGGTTTGTGTATGCTTAGCTTTGAGCACTAGAGATTATTCACAGGCAAGGCTGAGAGGTAAAATCAATACAGTAGTTGGCAGAAAGTAGGCACGTCTGATACAGAAGGCCACCTATAACACTTTGCTGACACATTGTCATCTGTAATACAGATAAGCATTCTGTTGCCATACTGCACATCTCTACATCAAGTCAGCAAAGCTTTTCTGTGCAATTTAAAGCAAAGTAGTGTGCTGATGATCTCAGATTTCCGACAAGCAAAATATATAGTCTTCCAGAGCTTTGTTGCTTACCTGTTTTTTTCCCCCTTGTGTTCTATATTGGAAACCTGTGCTGGGAGAAATACAGGGTTGCCATTAACCTCTTCTTGTGAAAATCTTAGTTGCTAAAGCCAACCATAGCTGGATTGAAATTCGGCTGGTTCAGCAGGGACTAGCCGAATTTCAATATATCTATGGGCAGACTAGTTGTACAGAAGTTGATCTCTCGATCAAGTAAAAATTTTCCAACAGGCTGGTTGTACAGAATTTTTCAGTGCTCCCAGCTATAGCCAGCAGTGCTAATGAGTGTAATCTGACAGCGTGGACCCTTCAGGTCTGGAGTGGATTGGGGTGTAAGCCTCACGCCAAAAAAAAAAAAAAAAAGTGTGAGGTCCACTCCAAAAATCCATACCAGGCACTTATCCAAGCATGCAGGAAAGGGGGGGGATGAGTGTGTGCTTCTTCCCCTCCTGAACCATACTATGTCACATGCCTCTGGCAAGGCACCTTGTCCCCATGTTGATGAGAACAAGGGCCTCTTCCCCACAACCCTGGTTCTGTGGTTGTAGGGGTGCGATGGGTGACATATCAGAATCTGGTATGGAGTCTTATGACCTCAATTATGGTCAATGATGGCACTTATTGAACCCACCCATTTGTTGCTGTCATTCAGTAAACAAAAGGGCGGGGGGGGGGGAATTTAACGAGGTGGCATCACCAGGTGACCATGCTCCTGGTCAATGACATCATAACTGGGCGGGGTCATCCGGTGCAGTCTCCTAACAAGCAATGCAAAAATGGACTGTTTGTCCATTTACATTTGTTTAGGTCCACTTCCGTCTTTTAAACAGAAAAGACAAAATTATATAGACTTCCATTAGAGTTCCACTAAAAAAACGGATGATTATCTGTTTTACATCCATTTGCCCATAGGAATGCATTGCTGTCCATTTTCCATCCGTCAACGGGTGAATAAAAAAAACGAACAGACAGTTCGCTAGTGTGAAAAGGGCCTAAATGACCTGGGAATAATCACTCTGGGTTGAGATAATGCAAAACCCTGCGCAGTTCCAAACTCTCTTCTTTAATGGGATTATACAATTCTTTTTGCCTATTTCCTCTAAATTACTTCTATTGAGTAGTAGTGTGCGCAATAGGTTGCTCATTTATCTATTTTATAGGCTTTAATCTTTGCTACAAAAAATGTTATCAGTAATTGTCTATTTTGAAAATCCGTTTTTGGTATGCAGTGACCTACAAACTATTTACAATGTGTTATCTTATTTTTCTTGCAGTGCTTTCAATGATTTTGATGGTTATAATCAGATACATCTCCAGAGTGCTTGTTTGGATCTTAACCATCTTGGTCGTGCTGGGTTCTCTTGGTGAGTGTTACAGGCCTTTTGCTATCTACATGAAATAAAAAAAGTATGTGTGGATGTGCATGTGCAGTATGTATACAAAGTAAATTAATAATCATGATATGAGCCATGTTAGGAAATGGAAATCGTGACCTTATGAGTGCCATTTTAAAGATGAAAAACTAAGGGCAAAAGTTTGTTTTTTCATTTTGGAAAGAGGAGGGAGGTTTAATACACCTCAGGTGTTTTTTTGCCATCTATCTGAAAAGGGAGATTAGACCCCAGATCTCTCCTCTGCTCTTCAAAGCATCAGTTTAAACCCAGACCAGTTTGATCTGATACTTTCACAGGCCCACAACGACCCATTTTTACATTTGACCGAAACCGAAAGTGACAAAAAAACATTGTTTCCAGTTTCTTAGACCATAGGATGATCAGGGATGTTCTAGTTCTTGGTCATCTCTATGGTCAGCTAGCAGAATCACTGGCGTCTGTCTAGGGCTCTCTGGTAGGACTGGAGAGCCCAGGAAGGTGGCAGGGGGACCCCCTTCTGCCTCTTGTAAAAGTGGTCCAGCTGCTAATTATCTGCTTGGATCGCTTTTACATTACGTTTACATTATTCAGCATCACCCACTAAAAAAAAAGATCCTGGGACCATGACTGCCGTTTTGGGCAGAAAATGGTTAAAAAGCCATTTTCAATAATTTTTTTTAAAATCTGCAGCTTTCATTAAAATAATACCGAGTGATTGTGCTACTAAGGCCCCTGTTATAAAGCGACAACACTTTGTCCCTATCTCCCAGTTCTGCTTTCACCATTGTTCCTTGTCCATACCTGCATTGCACAGGCATGTTTTGGTTGTTTACAGCATCTGGAAACCCACCCTCAGGAATGACATGCAGTTGATGTTTGAGCGAATGTACTGTACATAGGCACTTTCCGACCACCTAACTGGGAAAATACATTATTACTTTGACTTTTAATACTGGGTTATGGCTGCAGCTAGATGCCATAACCCTGGTATTAAAATTTTCCTCAGTCTTTCTGCTAAAAGATCAGAGTGGCTGAATAGCAGCAGCCGGAGGGTCGCCACTTTCTGGTGGTTCTCTGGCTTACTTGGATGATCGGTGAGCCAGGGAACTGATCCGGAACTTGCAGCAGCTGGCCACAGATGTGCAGAGGAAAGATTGCCTCCACCCATCTCATATGGCCTTAGAGGGCCAGAGCGATGTCATGACGTCACTCCTGGGTCACAGCCGATGTAAACAAGCCTTTTTTTTTTTTTTTTTTAATCTTCTGCTTTCCATTATAAAGGAGAGAGAGAGATATGGGGTCTTATTGACCCCCAGATGTCTCCATAAAGAGTACATGTTATGCCTTCTTTCTATCACAAGGGAAGTTTACATTCCTTGTGATAGGAGTAGAAGTGATCAAAAAATGTAAAGGGACAGTGTAAAAAAATAAATAATAAAAAAAAAAAAAATTAAAGCGCCCTCATCCTCCTGTGCTCTCGTGCAGTGGTAAAACAAATACGTAGGTCACACCCACATATGTACAGGGTGTTTGCACCACACATGTGAGGTATTGCCATGAAAGTCAGAGCAAGAGAAATAATTCTAGCTCTAGACCTCCTCTGTAACTCTAAACTGGCAACCTGTAAAAAATGTTAAAGCTTCACCTATGGAGATTTTTAAGTACTGTAATTTGGCGCCATTCCACAAGGGTGCACAATTTTAAAGCATGACAAAATGAATATCTATTTACTCAGCGTAACATCATCTTTCATACTTTAGAAAAAAATGAGTTGTATTTAAGTTTTCTTAAATTCATTAAAGTGTATTTTTTCCAAATACATTGCATTTGAAAAAACGCTGCCCAAATACTGTGACAAAAATTGCAACGGCCACAATTTTATTCTCTAGGGCCTCTACCAAAACAATAATGTTTGGGGGTTCTATGTAATTTTCTAGCAAAAAAATACTGATATTTACTTACAAAAAGTGTCAGAATAGGCCTGGTCTTTACGTAGATACACCGGAAGTGGCTGCTGGAAATAAGCAGTGCTGGTATGAAAACAAAGGAAAAAAGGTGAAAACAAGCATTTATTTTTAATTAAGAGTGGAAAATCTAGTGCGGATCTGCATATAAACCAACCAGCTTCCAAGTTTTATTGTCACTGTTAATTGAACGAGCTGAGGTTAGAAGCTGATTGGCTACCATGTGGAGCTGCTCCAGATTCTGAGTACACCAGTTTTAGTAAATCTCCCCCATTGTGTCACTGCACACAAACTAAATGAAGCTCTTTTGCTGCCACATCTGAAAATTGCAGTCCTGCCACCCCTGTGAATGAGGCCTTATAGTTTGTGTTTGTTAATTGAGAGTGTCTATAACAAAAATTCTGTTGCTTTTCTAATAAAGATCTTCAGACAGTAAATTTAAGTTAAAAAAAAAAAAGTTCATATTTTGTTTATACAGAATTTGTGTCCTTTTCTTTAAAGCAAAATAAAATATAATAATTATAAATAGCCATTTTCTGGGCCTATGGGCATTTGTGAGCCTTTGGATAGTGTTTCCACGATCTAGCTAAATGCTATATGATTCTGTTGATGTGCAGTATGTTCCCAGCTCTTAAAAAAATGTTATGAGAGGTTAGTGCCTAATGGTTGCAAATCGGTTGGCCTATAAAGTTGTTGCTCCAAGGTTTTGTCAAATTGTGCATGTGAAATATTTTCACTTTACAGGTACAAGTTATCTGCAAATGCTACTGATTTAGACTTGTGAACTTTTCAATTGACCCTGTGTCACTGAAGGACAAGCAAGATTTATTCCTTGTTAGGATAGCTGAGAAAAATTATCAAGCTGTTCTCCATTTTGTACCTCTTATCAGAGAAATGGTGTGATTTGTAATGCTGGAAACTTACAATGTGGAATGAATGAGAGAGAACATCATTAGCTAGCGGTTTTCAAATCCCTGTAATGTGTCCCTGGTTACACCTACAAGCCATTCATTCAATAAATCACATTGAAAACTTCACTCATTCAGACTCCCAGGGTCTTTTTGTCATATCAAGTAGGTCACCTTTCATGAGCACTATGAAAGGAAACATATTCATCACTTTGTCTTGGATGCTTGAATGACATCCTGTTATTGATGAGCATTATAATCTATTGGCTTCCACATTTCATTTTATGCCCTAATAGTAAAGACCACAACATAGATGCAATACGGTTTTATGGTGTTAAATGCTTGCATAACACAGGATGGTTGTTTTGAGTGACCCTGTCATTTTCTTAGAGTAGCTATAAATCATTGCAGCACAGAATTCCTGACCCTTAGGCTTTTGCTTTTTAGTATAGCTTTATCCTCAAATGCAGCATTCCATGACTTCAGTTTTGTTTGGTTTGCATGTGTGCAGCACGTGAGACTGTCCATTAACCTAAAAAGTGCAGCGCAAACCAACAAAAAATGTACGTACTGCAATGCATATAATGTGACAATGAACTCAATAGAATCTCACTGTACTTAAACCAGTGTATATATACCAACAGATACTCTTACTGAATAAATAATCAGATTAAAAAATAGTGTCTCAAAAAAGCTTTTAAAGCATAATAACGTCATAGTTTGGAGTTCAACATGTCTTGGGAGGGAAGAAATCTCCAACCCAGTGTCATGGTTTTTGTGCAAAAACCAGCAGGGTGTGTATCCAAGCTCACACAGCCCTTATAATAATGGTCTGGTGAGAGCACAGGGCAGTTGCAGTTTCTGCCATTCAGGATATATGGTTGTTCCTATCAGTGACTGCATCCCTTATGAGGAGAACCTATTGCCCAAGGACTGTGAAAGTCAGTACAGCAGGTTTGGAAGGCTAAGAGGGGGTCTAGGAGGCTGAGAAAGCTGAGGCTGCCAGCAGGTTCAGGGAGGCTAGAGGAAGTCTGGAAGTCTGTGAGAGTGAGGGGGGGGCTGGAGATCCCTGTTTGGTGACCAGGAGTGGGCCATTGCGGTGAGGTACTTCAGTTGAGGCTGAGTAGTCCTTCAGAGCCAAGTGGCTTAGTATTTTTACATTATTTGTATTTTCTGGAGAAGAACCCATGCATGGGTAATCCGCATGTGTTGGACTGTTACTTTTGATTTTCTTTTAAAGTTTGCTACCACACCCTGGACTATAGTCCGGAACTGATGTGAGCTGCACACACACTTTTTATATACACTATATTGCCAAAAGTATTGGGACACCCCTCCAGGTCATTGGATTCAGGTGTTCCAGTCGCTTCCATGGCCACAGGTGTATAAAATCAAGCACCTAGGAATGTAGACTGCTTCTACAAACATTTGTGAAAGAATGGGTCGCTCTCAGGAGCTCAGTGAATTAAAGCATGGTACTGTGATAGGTTGTCACCTGTGCAATAAGTCCATCGTGACATTTCCTTGCTACTAAATATTCCACGGTCAACTGTTAGGGGTATTATAACAAAATGGAAGCAACTGGGAACAACAGCAACTCAGCCACGAAGTGGTAAGCCACGTAAAATGACAGAGCGGGGTCAGCTCATGCTGAAGCGCACAGTGTGCAGAAGTTGCCAGCTCTCTGCAAGGTCAATAGAAAACTTTGTGTGGCCTTCAGATTAGTACAACAGTGCGTAGAGAGCTTCATGGAATGGGTTTCCATGGCCGAGCAGCTGCATCCTAAGCCTTACATCACCAAGTGCAATGCAAAGCGTTGGATGCAGTGGTGTAAAGCACGCTAGCACTGGACTCAAGAGCAGTGGAGACTTGTTCTCTAGAGTGATGAATCACGTTTCTCTGTCTAGCAATCTGATAGAAGTCTGGGATTGGCGGTTGCCAGGAGACTGATACTTGCCTGGCTGCATTGTGCCAAGTGTAAAGTTTGTTGGAGGGGGGATTATGGTGGGGGGTTTGTTTTTCAGGGGTTGGACTTGGCCCCTTAGTTCCAGTGAAGGGAACTTTTAAGGCATCAGCATACCAAGACAATTTCATTCTCCCAATTTTGTGGGAAGAGTTTGGGGATGACCCCTTCTTGTTCCAACATGACTGTGTACCAGTGCACAAAGCACGGTCCATAAAGAACTGGATGAGTGAGTTTGGGGTGGAGGAACTTGATTGGCCTGCACAGAGTTCTGACCTCAACCCGATAGAACACCTTTAGAATGAATTAGAGCAGAGACTGCGAGCCAGGCCTTCTCATCTGACATCAGTGCCTGACCTCACAAAGGCACTTCTGTTCTGGAAGAATGGTCAAACATTCCATAGACACATACCTAAACCTTGTGGACAGCCTTCCCAGAAGGATCTGACATCAGTGCCTGACCTCACAAAGGCACTTCTGTTCTGGAAGAATGGTCAAACATTCCCATAGACACATACCTAAACCTTGTGGACAGCCTTCCCAGAAGAGCTGAATCTGTTACAGCTGCAAAGGGTGGGCCAACTCAATATTGAAACCTACAGACTAAGACTGGGATGCCACTAAAGTTCATGTGCATGCAAAGGCAGGCGTCCCAATACGTGTGTGTGTGTGTGTAATATTTGTGTGTTGGGATGCTTCATAAAATCTACATCAAAACCATTTCAAGTGTTTAAACTGAGAAAATGTACCATTTTAAGATAAAAATAAGGTCATTTTGAAATTGATGGCAGTAATACTTCTCAAACGTTTCATAAATTCTTCTTTTAACACTCTGTGTACATCTGGCAACTGAGAAGACTTGTTGCTAGAGATTTGGGAGACTCTTGTTGTCCCATTCTTGCCTGATATAGGATTCTAACTGCTCAACAGTCCTGGGCCTTCTTTGTTATATTTTTGTTTTTTAAGATGCACCAAATATTTTCAATTGGTGAAAGGTTTGGGCTGCAGGCAGGCCAGTTAAGCACCCGGACACTTCTACTAAGAAGCCATGCTGCTGTCACAGATGCAGAATGCGGTTTATCATTGTCCTGCTGAATTATGGAAGGCCTTCCCTGAAAAAGATGCCTCTGGATGTCAGCATATGCTGCTCTAAAACATTGATGGTACCTTTCCAGATGTTCAAGTTGCCAATTGCATGCGCACTAATGCACCCCCATACCATCAGAAGCTTTTGAACTGAGCTCTAATAACAAGCTGGAAAGTCCTTCTCTTCTTTAGTCCAGAAAAATCGGCACACTCAATTCTTCTGGCCACAGAGCAGTTTTCCACTTTGCAACAAACCATATTAAATGAGATTTGGCCCAATGAAGACAGTGACATTTCTGGATCATGTTCAAATATGGCTTCTTCTTTGCATGATCAGAGTTTTACCTTGCATTTTTGGGTGGTATGGCAAACTGTGTTCACAGACAGTGATTTTTGGAAGTATTCTTGAGCCCTTGCAGTGATGTCCATCACAGAATCATGCCTAATTTTAATGCACATCTGAGGGCCCTTAAATTACAGGTATACAATATTGTGTTTCAGCCTTGTATCTTGTGCACAGAGATTTCTCTAGTTTCTAAGAATCTTTTGCTGATATTATGCATTAGAGTTGATAATATATTTAAAGTTTTTGCAATTTTATGTTGAGGAACCTTAAAGTTTTAAGCCCACAACAGTAAAATTAGTCTGTATATGCAGTAAGGCATGCTTGTTTTGCTCACTGTGGAACCCAGGGGGTTAATCCTCCACATTGTGTTAATAGGCTGTTTGATCCTGGCTTCTCTGATGCTCCCCTTCTTCTGTCCCCAATCCATCTGCTGATAGTACTGAGCTCTATGAATCAATCTCCATATACTCAATTTAGTGTGTATTGCTAGAAAGTTTTGTTTTTGTTTTTTGTTTTTTTTTCTCTTTGAGGGTGCATGTGATCAGCACTGTCCAGATCAGGGGTCATGCAGCCTCACAGAACAGTCAGAGCAGAATGAAAACTCCTCCTACAAGATTAACCGGTGCTCAGCTGGACACTGATAGACTAAAATAATTGCATTTCCATGTTCTTTGTACTGTGGGAGACCAGATATAGTGAATGCAGGGTCCTCGGTTTAGTAACACTTTAATTGTTTGACAGTTTTTAGATGCAGCATATCACAGATTGGTAAACCTCTGCTCATCTTTACATCTGAGACACTCTATCATTCCCTAAGATGTTCTTTTTATACCCAATCATGTTACTGACCTGTTGCCAATTAATCTGATCAGTTGCTACATGTTATTCCAGCTCTTCCTTGTTTGTATAACTTACTTTGCCACATTTTTATTGACCTGTCCCAACTTGCGTTCAAATTCTTCAATTTCAAAATGAGCTAATTTTTTTTCTTAAAATGGTACACTTGCTCAGTTTAAAAATGTATTTTTTCTATTTCCTATGGTAAATAAAATATTGGTTTATGTGATTTGCAAATCATTGCATTCTGTTTTTTATGTAGATTTTAAAAGTGTGAATGTGAAAGCATATTAATATTGTGTTAAGTGGAGTTGAATGCGGTCATTTGGAGTGTAATGCAATACTTTTCTTTTTCGCAGAGATCTAATGCTTTGTGGTTTCTGCAGTTAACTCTCCTATCAGGATATGGTAGAAATAGATGCTGGGGAACCCTCAGAATGGTGGCATTATTACCACCAGAAATAAAATTGCTATTTTGTTTTGGAGCTGTCTTTAATGTAGGTTGGTAGCATATTGCCTTGAGACACCTGATTCAAAATGGCGCATTTTGTTTTCAGTAGATGCAAGCTGGATTTAATTTATTTTTTTTTTCAGTGCAGGTTTTTCTGTTCTTATACCTTTGATCAAAGATACTTTTTTTTTTCCCGTTTATTAGGCGTTAATCACATTTTTCTTCACTTTTGCACAGGAGGTACAGGTGTTCTTTGGTGGATGTATTACGAGCACAGGAAATCGTTCAGTGAAGATCTTCCACCAGACCAACTTCAAGTTTCCAAAGACAACCAGCAAGCCTTGCTCATCTATGCCATTGCAGCCACTGTCTTTACCGTAAGGATTCTGTTTTAGGTTTATTATGCTGACTGTACATGAAACTGGGTCACCTCTTTCTCACTCCTTCACTTGTTTATTAATAGCAGCAGAGTGACAGTGGTAACAGCTGAGAATAGATGGTGAAACCTCTTCTAACTGAAACTGTGCATGTTAGCTGAGATTCAGCAAGAAGTTTTTGTTAACTACATCACCTTAAATTGCCTGTTACAGTGAAGGTATCCTCTGTGTGCTGCGCGGTTTGCACATCAGTTTTGTAGGAGCCAGTGATTTTTTTTCAGCCATTTTTATTACCCAATATTCATAGATATAGGTTACTGTTTACAAGAATCAGTTAATTTTCTGTGGCTGAAGAGGACGTTAATGCTGTCAGTGGTATTAAAGTATTCTATCCCTCATCACATACTTCCCAAAATAAGAATACATTCTGAGCAAAGTTTACACATTTTTCTTTTATAACAAAATACACTATGTGGACAAAATATATGTGCAATTTATTGTTGCTTTGGTTTCATATTTTAAAATGAGAAACCTTGAGTGTGACATTGCTGACTTCCTGTTAAAAAGACTAGTTGTCTGGCAGTTCTTTGAGAAATTGCAGTGTCCAGTGGGTACTGGTCAAAGCCACATATTTCTGCTTTTATTTCTTTACTGTGAAAAACCATTTTGCATATATTTAACATATATATATAATTTCCTGCCTATAAATATACAGAATTGTGCTACTGTATAAAAAGGTAATAGTACTCTATAAAGTTTGGAACAGTACCTTCCTGTTTTATTAGTTTAGAAATTTCATTTTGTCATTTTTCATTTGTAGGTTGGCAAAGGTCTTAGATTTTAATACATAAAAAATGAATTGCACATCTGAAAAGGCAACCCATGCATGCTTCGTATTTTACAGTAACAGACAGCTTTGTGGCCCATCATTTCATTGGATCAGTCTTTGCATCTGTGTTCTTTGTTCTTATCTGTGTCTGATATTGTTTCTCTGCCCTGGCAGGTGATCCTATTGCTCATCATGCTGGTTATGAGGAAGCGAGTTGGCCTCACAATTGCCTTGTTCAATGTGGCTGGAAAGGTTTTCATACATCTCCCACTGCTAGTCTTCCAGCCCTTTTGGACTTTTTTTGCTCTTCTGCTGTTCTGGGTCTACTGGGTCATGGTTCTGCTCTTTCTGGGAACTGCAGGTATGTCTATTTAGAAATTTAGCTGCAAACTGGAACAAAGCATAATTCCTCATTTTGTAATCTCAATTATTCATAGGTCTTAGATATCTTTTATGTGTCTAACAATCTGGAAAGTTCCTATACTTCAAAGTACACATGTACCTTAAAAAAACAGTTGCAAAAATTCAAATGATTCTGTATAGTAGGCACCATAAGGTGCTTTAGCCTGGGGGTGCTGTGGAAGCAATCGGCAGCAGTGGAGCTACCTGACAGGCAGGAGTCTTCCTGCCTGTTTTATACACAATCCCGGTGGCTGCAGCCACTGGATTGTGTATAAAACCCCCTGATGTCAGGTCCATACAGACCTGGCAGCGACAGTTTTTTTTCTTTTTTTTAAAGCGTTTTATCCCATGAATATCAAGTGCAGATAACTGCTTTATGAAAATCAATATTGCATAAGCATAACCATGGCCCCAACTAATACATGAAAGGACTTGACTTGCACCTTTTAGTGCCTATTATACATAATTTGTTTTAAAATAATTTTCACTACAGGTTTTCTTGAAAATAAGTTTGGGTTATTTCTTACTCTGTGAACTGTTGTGCAGAATTTTGGGTTGTAAATATCTCTATAACATGTTCTCTTTTCCCATACTTTTACCTTTACATTCTTAACCAGTTCAGCTGTTGCACATGTATTTCTCTTATGCACCTGAGCAATTTTTGCTATGGTCCTATTGATTCAACAACCGTAACCATCATTATTTAAGATAAGATAAAATGTAATACATGTAGGCTAAATTGACACTCCAGAATAAGGCAGTCCATAGATGAGTCTCATCTCTCTCTCTCATATATACACACACAGCATATTTTTTATTTTTTTTCAACTAGTAGGTAAAATGGAAAAAAAAAATGATCCCCCCAGCTACATATTCGAAGTAGATGGGAGAATCCTCCCTGCTGCACTATTGTATTCTGGCAGCTGGGAGATTTCCCCCAACTGTCAGAATACACTGATCAGCTCTGCCAGCTGTAGCTAGCGGCGCTGACCAAGTGGGACAGATCCAACAGGGTGGTTGTGAAGAGGTAGATCAACTCCTGTACAACCTCTGCTCATGGATGGATCAAAATTTGGCCAGTTCCTTGAACCAGACTGAAAATATTTGTTTTTATTGAAAATATCAGTTACATGGCTATAATTAGGATTTTTATCTTTGTGTTTAAAGCTTTGCGAATTGAGCCTATTGTGTTTTTCAGGATTCTTTTGGTGAAAATGTCTTGGTAGAAAAAAAAATTATTTTATATGCAATCTTTAGACACAGTTAATAGAGATGAAAAAATTGTTTTTAGATATAAAAAAAATAAATCAAAATAATATCTAAAGGGAAAATAAAGTTAAATAGGACTGCTTAGTTAAGTACTGTAATGCAGGCCATAGATGGGGAGAAAAACGGCCGATTTTTCGTCCGAAAATAAAACCGGCCGATTATCTTATCGTTAGTGGACGATTTTGTCGGCCGTTTTTCGTGTATTTTGGACTTTCAGATCATCGGTGATGTTGGAAAATTTTCGAAAAACGCCCGACTTTATCCTCATTGATGGTCAAAAACGAACGATCGTTTTCCGAAAAAGGATCACAAAGGCCACAAAATGACATCATTTCCCGTTATAGGTTACTCATTAATCGGCCGATTTTCGTAATAATTGGTGGTCAGGTAAGTTTTTTAGACCGACCGATAGTTCGTTAATCGGCCGAAAATCTGCCGTTTTTCTCCCCATCTATGGCCTGCATATGTCATAAGGGGATGAATAAGAACAGATTTCATCTAAAAGTCTGTTTCTTCAGGTTTAATTTAAAGTTTTAAACCCTACTCTTCCTGCACATGTGGAAAAAATAAATGTTTTTCTCTCTCTTTTTTTTTCTCTTCTTAGGTGATCCATATGCTAATGAACAAGACTTTGTGGAGTTCAAGATTAATGGCCCTCTGCAATACATGTGGTGGTATCATGTAGTAGGGCTCATATGGATCAGTGAGTTTATTTTAGCCTGCCAGCAAATGACCATAGCTGGTGCTGTGGTAACATACTATTTCACAAGGTGAGATTTTGTTAATAAATAATTGAAATGTCCCTGTTAATAAAAAAAAAAAAAAAAAAATGGGTATAACTTAAATGCCACCTTAAAAGCAGGAACATGAAATAAAGGTCATGTATATTTTTTAAAGGCAATGATTAACTTATATAATAACTGAAGAAAAAAAAACACAGTCATGTACCATGTACACGTCCCGTGTGTGTATGTATGTATATTTGTGTGTGTATATAAATTTGTTTTTTCACCGTGTGTGTGTATCCGAGGCACTGGGTGGCAGGTTTGTGGAGGATGCTTGTGTCAGGTTTATTATCTGCACATGGTGAGGGGATGATGACTAATATGGAGAAAACACAGGACTTTATGTTTTTACGAAAAAAATATGCGCATGAGCCGTGACCTGGAAGGCAAAGAAGTTTCGCCTGTACGAAATTTCTTTTCCGGGACAAAGTTCAAAGCTGTTGAATGTCAACAAAACATTATTAACTGGCTTCCTGTGTGTGAATAAATGTACCGCTTTCTGTGTGTGATGTACAGAACATGCATTTGCTATGGTTATTGCTCTGTGCTAAACTGTTTGAAGAATCCCCCACAAAGTAACATTAATTTATGTCCATTCTCACCATATATTAACCATTATTCAAACATTTACGCCCAAAATAGTGAAATATACAAATATTTCATTCAGATATAAAAACAATTTAACCATTTCAATACCGCGCAATTTTACACCTTCCTGCCCAGGCCATTTTTCACGTTTCAGCGCTCTCACACTTCAAATGACAATTGCGCGGTCATACAACATTGTACCCAAACTAAAATGTTATTTTCTTCACACAACTAGAGCTTTCTTTTGGTGGTATTTAATCACCGCTGGGGTTTTTATTTTTTGCTAAATTAACAAAAAAAGACCAAACATTTTGAAAAAAAAAAACACGTTTTTCTTTGTTTCTGTTATAAAAGTTTACAAATAAATAATTGTTCTTCATAAATTTAGGCCGAGATGTATTCTGCTACATGTCTTTGGTGAAAATAACCCAAATTAGGATGTATTATTTAGTTTGTAGGAAAGTTATAGAGTTCACAAACTATGGTATAGATCTGAAAATTGATCAATCCTGAAGTACTGACGGCCAATCTAATTTCTTGAGGTCCAAGAATGTCAGAACAGTACAGATATCCCCCAAATGACCCCTTTTTGCAGAGTAGACAGTCCGACGTACTTTATAAGAGGAATGGCGAGTTTTTTGAAGTTGTATTTTTTTTTGTCATAATTTTTCGGAAAATAAAAAAATTAAAAAAATTATTTTCACAATTTTTTTTTTTACATACTGTCACCAGTGCAGTACAGCGTGATCATATAACTGGCATGGCGGTGAACAGGGACACTGACTGGTGACAGTATGAAAAAAAAATATATATATTTTTTTTTTTTTTTTTTTTTTTATTATTTTTAATTTTTTATTACATTTTTTTATTTTTTTTTAAGATTTTTTTTTCATATTGTACTATGACCATAGTAGTACAATGTTACCATAGTAACATTGTACTACTTTGGGGAAGTGGTCAGTATTTTTTTTTTTACACAATTTGCTTATAGCAAAGAATTACTTTGCTATAAGCAAGCATTTACCTGAATGAAATCGATTCATTCAGTTTTTTTTTTTTGTGCTTAGCTGTGATTTGGTCACAGCTAATCACATGACATGTGCATGTGATTAGCTGTGACCATTCACAGCTAGGCAGTAGTATACAATGGATGGCATGAATGAAGCCATCCATTGTATACAACTGTCATGTGACCTGCTGTGATTGGTCACAGCAGGTCACATGGTACCAGCAACGGGGGCCGGTACTCAGATCTGTCATCGGCCGTGTCCGAGGTACACGGCGGGTGACAGATCGCGCAGCTGCGAGGCTCTGCATTACCGCAAACGGCGCATGTGCGGGTGCACGCCAGATGGCGTGCACCCGGAATGCCGCAGCACTTCTGAAGCCGCCAAACGGCCATTGGCCGGGCGGCTAATGGTTAAAATAGTCAGATCTTTTAAAGCAGCACTGCTTTATTGAGCTACTTTGTGGCATATCAAAAATAGTATACTTTTGAAGTTATTTTTTATCAAAAATATTTTTAATGTTTGCATAAATATTTTTTTTTTTTTTTTTTTTTTTTATAAATATTCTGTTTTTTTGTTTAAAATAGAACATTATTCAAACTGTACATTGTGTACATATATTTTTAGAAAAATATTCTGACAAAATGGTACAGACCTTCAATGTAGAAGACATACCGTATTTTTCGCTCTATAAGACGCACTTTTTCCCCCCCAAAAAAATGGGGGAAAATGTCATTGCGTCTTATGGAGCGAATATAAAGCGGCCGGTCCGGTATTTCCGCCGCCACCATGTCAGAATACTGGGCCGGCCGCTCAGCTCTTCTCTGCTGCAGGACCTTATCTGTTCCTCGGTCTAGCTCTGTACAATCTTCCCGCGCCGGCTTCTTCCCGCACCGGCATCTGTGACAGCCGGGTGCCCACTGCGCTTGCGCGAGAAGCGCTGCACTTTGTGAATGGTCCGGGATCTTTTGGGACACATGACAGGTCACAGCCGGATGCCCACAGTAAAGGGAGGACAGCTCCGTGGAAGTGGGAGCGGGCACCTGTCAAATTCAGGTACCCGCTCCCCCTCCCTCCCTAAAGGTCCGCAGTCTCTTGGTCATCCCCTGTACTGTCTGCAGTCTCTGGTCATCCCCTGTACTGTCTGCAGTCTCTGGTCATCCCCTGTACTGTCTGCAGTCTCTGGTCATTCTCCTGTACCGTCTGCAGTCTCTTGATCATCCCCTGTACTGTCTGCAGTCTTTTGATCATCCCCTGTACTGTCTGCAGTCTCTTGATCATCCCCTGTACTGTCCGCAGTCTCTTGATCATCCCCTGTAGTGTGTCCGCAGTCTCTGGTCATCCCCTGTACTGTGTCCGCAGTCTCTGGTCATCCCCTGTACTGTGTCCGCAATCTCTGGTCATCCCCTGTACTGTGTCCGCAGTCTCTGGTCATCCTCTGTACTGTGTCCGCAGTCTGTGGTCCATCTCCTGTACTGTGTCCGCAGTCTGTGGTCCATCTCCTGTACTGTGGCTGCAGTCTCTGGTCATTTCCTGTACTATGTCTGCAGTCCATTGGTTCAGAATATTTTTTTTCTTGTTTTTATCCTCTAAAACCTAGGCGCGTCTTATGGTCAGGTTTCATATGTACTCCAGCGCCTCAGGATATGCACAGCCAAAAGGGAAGCCAAGGCAACCAGGACAGCGACAACCAAAGGAAATGCTTCAGGGGTGCAGCCACTAGATAGAGAATAGACAGGTGGCGCTCACACCTAGCGCATTATCCACGGTTTATTGAAAGGAGTGGAAAATAAAAACATACTCACAGACGAAGCATGTATCTAAAAAGCATTTGCATAATGACGATGGCCACAACGGCAAGCAAGGTGTTCCAACTGTCAATGCGGTCAAATGGCTGACGCGTTTCAGGGACGAATCCTTTTCCTCAGAGCTACTGACCAGCCTCTGATGCAGATGTGTAGTGGATGGATGATGGGAGCCTTGCTGGTGAGGCATAGTGTGGGAGGGTGTGAAAAATCAAAAATAACATAATTTCCTGTTATATGTCATGATTTTTATGACTTGGTTGGCCGATTTTCGTAATAATTGGTGGTTACGTTGGTTTAACGAACGACCGATGTTTCCTTTATCGGACGAAAAAAATGGACGGTTTTCAAGCTGTCTATGGCCTGCATTAGGAACTGACATGAGTTTAGTTAGTGGCTGGGCAAGCAGGTGGCATGATTTTTTTTTTTTTTTTCTATGGACTGTACAAAGCCCTCCTTCATTGAAAGTTTTTGATACTGAATAAAAGCGCAGGTCTCTCTGTCTCCTGTTTTATGCAAGGTTTATCACTGCTGATACCAGTCGAGTCTTTTCCCGTTACTGTAAACATATAAATGGGTACACCTCTTTTAAAATTAATACTATAATCAATATCTCAATGAACACAAGAACAATTTCCAAAATTTTCACAAAACTGAGTTTTATAGAACATTTGTTTAGCTCATTACATGAAACTACGGTTAATATTACTTAGATTACAAAATCTTCAATTTTACTCAAATTATTTGATGCAAAAACTGAATACACCCCACAACAAAAACTACTACATCTAGTATTTTGTATGATTTGTAAGGACAGCACCAAGTCTTCTAGGCATGGAATGAACAAGTTGGCAACTTGTTGCAACATCTGTCTGTTAACATTCTTCAAGAACGATCTCTTTTAGAGCCTGGATGCTGGATGGAGATTGATGCTCAACTTATCTCTTTAAAAATTCCCCATAGGTGTTCGATTGGGTTCCGATCAGGAGACATACTTGGCCACTGAATCACTTTCACCCTGTTCTTCAGAAATGCAACAGTGGCCTTAGATGTGTGTTTTGGATCATTGTCATTTTGGAAAAGTGCACAATGAGCAAGGGCACAGAATGATGGTAGCATCTTCTCTTTCAATATAAAGCAGTATATCTGTGAATTCATGATACCATCATTGAAATGCAGCTTCCCGACTCCAGCAGCACTCTTGCAGACCCACAAAAAGACACTGCCACCACCATTTTTCACTGTTGGCACCATGCATTTTTCTTTGTGCTCCTCACCTTTGCAACACCATACAGTTTGGATCGAGACTGGGCTCAAGTACCGTATCTGCCGGCGTATAAGACGACTTTTCAACCCGTGAAAATCTTTTGAAAAGTCGGGGGTCGTCTTATACGCCGGTATACGGCGAGCCGGTGTCAGGGCGGCACTTTTTCGAGGGGCGGCGCCCCCCCCCTCCTCCTCCAATGGACACCAAGTACAGGGGTGGGCAGAGGGGCTGCTGTACCTTACCTGGCTCCGGTCTCGGTCCCACGACGATCCGGTCCAGGAAGCGCGGCTTCTCCTTTCAGTTCGGCCGCTCGATGGTCCCGCCGCCCGCTCGGCTCCGCCTCCTCACCGGTGATTGGGCGCCAGCACTGGAAAGAAGGCGCACAGGCGACCAATCACCAGCGAGGAGGCGGAGCCGAACGGCCCCGCGAAAATCAAGCGGGCCGAACTGAAAGAAGGAGCAGCCGCTCCTCTCCCCCACTGACACTAACGATGGGGCACTATTCCTCCTCCACACTGACACCAACGATGAGGCACTGTTCCTCCCCCACTGACACCAACGATGGGGCACTATTCCTCCTCCCCACTGACACCAATGATGGGGCACTATTGCTCCCCCACTGACACCAATGATGGGGCACTTTTCTCCCCACTGATACCAATGATGGGGCACTATTCCTCCCCCACTGACACCAATGATGGGGCACTATTCCTCCCCCACTGACACCAACCATGGGGCACTATTCCTCCTCCCCACTGACACCAACGATGGGGCACTATTCCTCCTCCCCACTGACACCAATGATGGGGCACTATTCCTTCCACTTATACCAATGATGGGGCGCTATTCCTCCCACTGACACCAATGATGGGGTACTTTTCTCCCCACTGATACCAATGATGGGGCACTATTCCTCCCCCACTGACACCAACCATGGGGCACTATTCCTCCTCCCCACTGACACCAACGATGGGGCACTATTCCTCCTCCCCACTGACACCAATGATGGGGCACTATTCCTTCCACTGATACCAATGATGGGGCGCTATTCCTCCCACTGACACCAATGATGGGACGCAATTGCTGCCACTGATACCAGTGATGGGGCGCTATTCCTCCCACTGACACCAATGATGGGGTGCTATTCCTCCCACTGACACTAATGATGGAGCACTATTCCTCCCACTGACACTAATGATGGGGCACGATTCTTCCCACTGACACCAATGATGGGGCACTATTCCTCCCACTGACACTAATGATGGGACACTATTCCTCACACACTGACACTAATGATGGGGCACCATCATTGGTGTCAGTGGGAGGAATAGTGTCCCATCATTGGTATCAGTGGGAGGAATAGCGCCCCATCATTGGTATCAGTGGGAGGAATAGTGCCCCATCATTGGTATCAGTGGGAGGAATAGTGCCCCATCATTGGTGTCAGTGGATGAAATAGTGCCCCATCATTAGTGTCAGTGGGAGGAGTAGTGCCTCATCATTGGTATCAGTGGGAGGAATCATGCCCCATTATTGGTGTCAGTGGGAGGAATAGCACCCCATCATTGGTGTCAGTGGGAGGAATAGCACCCCATCATTGGTGTCAGTGGGAGGAATAGCACCCCATCATTGGAATACCAAACTGAAATACCATACCATATTGAAATCAAATCTGATGTTTTTTCATTTTTATTTGGTGTGCGTTGGAAGAGGGGTAGTCTTATACGGCGAGTATAGCTCAAACCCTATATTTTAACAGGAAAAGTAGGGGGTCGTCTTATACTCCCAGTCGTCTTATACGCCGGCAAATACGGTAAGTATTTAGGGAGGCTGAGGAGGGAGCTGAACAGAGAAGGTTTTTTTGCAGTGCTTTTACTGGCCCGGAGTATACCAGGAAATTAAGGTCTTTTGTGTCCTGATTTTTTGGTCCTGCCCGACATGTTGGGTAACTGCCCTGACACCCAAATCAAGATGCTCTTTAAACATATAGCCATGGACTTGGTAGACCCCTTGGTCCAGTCAGATATTGGACACCTAATACATTTTAGTGGTCCTCGACTAAGCCTCCAGGTATCCGGAGGCGGTGCCTTTAAGAAATATCTCATCCAAGCTCATCACTGTAGATGTTTAGGATATTCACTAGAACAAGGTCCGAGATATTGACCAGCCAAGGTACCCTATTTATGTCTAAGGTGACAAAGGAATTTGGTAAATTGTTAACAGTAAGCACTTGTCGACTTCTGTTTATCATCCACAAACTGATGGGTTCATACCCCTTGTAATTTTCCACATTTTGTCATGTTACAACCAAAAACGTAAATGTATTTTATTGGGATTTTATGTGATAGACCAACACAAAGTGGTCAGGTGCATTGCTTTGGCCAACCGCAATGCACTGTAAGAGCGCAGTGCATTTTGGGGCATGGCAGGCGAACACCCTTACTCTTCGTGTGTTTGCCGAACATACGAACAGCCGATGTTCGAGGCCATCACTAATGCTGAAGCTAAATGAGTGCTAAAGCTTTTGAGTGCTGAAGCTAAGCACAATTGTGCTACTGTTTTAAGAATGTATGTTGATATACTGATTGACACTGATAAGTTGTATCTGTCTTGCTTCTACTGAAGCTTAACCCCCCTGGCGGTATTCCCGAGTATAGCTCGGGGTTAACTTTCAGTACCAGAAGCGGTAACCCCGAGCTACACTCGGGATTACCCTGCAGCGTTGCTCAGGGATTCCCTCCTGCACTTACTTTGTCCTGTGCTCCCGCGATGTCCCTCCTACAGCATACCCGGCCATCTCCTCCGGCCAATGCCGGCATTTGTCTTCCGGATTCCGTTCCCTGCAAGCGTCAGGACGTACGGGACAGAACCTGCAGGATATTAAAAAATTAAAAAATGTGACATTCACTCAATACACTAAAATCTCATAGTAAAACATTACTGTATCAAACCATTTCACATACATTTTGTCCCTAGTGCTTTGTCCTGTGCCCTGCCTACATTTTTACTGTTCTTTCTGCCTGGAAACTGAGATATGTCCATGGCGTCCAAAAAGCGTCCCTTTAGGTCAAAAGTGGTTTTAGACCAGCTAGAGAACAGCGATAGTAAATTTGAACCACTTGCAGAATTGAGTAATAATTCGTGGGGAAATTCGTATAAGTCACTGAAAACGATTTTGCAACTAAGCTCAGTGATGTACGAACTTGGCGCTCTATTTAAAATTTCAGTGTTTTGGTTTGATTACATTATTGAATTAAATTTATTATTATTTTTTATGATTATATTCCAATTTATGATTGCGTGTTTAAAATTTTATGATAACCGGGATATTTACTAGACTCTTGTTCGGACAGATTTCAGTGAGTTATTTCAAGAATTACAGCCCTACAATAAGAAAAACTACATATTTCCATGCAAAAAAAGGTACCGCTTTGAGCACAGAAATACTGACTTAATCAGACCGCTAGGGAGGTTAAG